TGGAGCTGACTGACTCCCGGGGCAAAAACAAACTTAACAAACTAAATTTGGCCGAAGGCGTCATTTTAACTGCCGCTTACCCTTCGCTCTCTCCTTTAGCTATCCTTGCCGACATTTCAATGCCTTTTTAATCTAGAACAAAAGCAAACTTAATTTGCCACAACATCTGAGATGGCACGGGGCAAAAGGAAAAGGCAACGGCAACGGCAACGGCACAGGACAGGACAGGCTACGGATGGGCAGGGCAGGGAGAACAACAGTCGAGGACGTCACTTGACACATAATTTAATTACAACAACACTTTCGGGATGGGTACGATGGCCACCACGCGCGAGCCACAAAGGAGTGTGGATGGGCAGGGCTACTTTGAAGTTAAGCACTCGGCGCCACCAGGCCGCCAGCACTCGCCTTGTTGAGCAACAACTTTCGAGTGCAACGCGTCCTGAATTGTAATTAGTGCCCAGAAGCACAGATCTGGCAGTCGGAGGCGATGGCGTCGCTTGATTTATGGAGCGCGCGCATTTGTAATTGTTATTACGTGTGAATGCTCCACTCGAAGTTACAGTTACAGTTACAGGTCCAACGTTCAACTCAATTGACTGCCCCCCCTGGGCCCCTGGCCATAAATTCGTTATCCGTGCTAATTGTTGAAGCGAATGAAGCGTGATTTGATCACGGTCACCAGTCCAACCCATTTGACCCAGTGACATTGATACTTGACCCGCTGCACTTGCATGTGGCAGAACAGCAGAACTGACGGAAGATCTTTAAGTGTTTGCCGCCTTAGCGCAGCAATAAATAAGTACCACTTCCAGTTCCAGTTCTGCTTTCATTCTGGCAGTGCAACACACATGTGTAAGAGAGACACACCCTGTTGCGCTCTTAAATATGTTAGAAGGCAGCTAGCTCCATCCCTTTCTGGCGCACAGCGAACAGCGTTCACCATGGTTTCTTTCTTCGCTGTGCCTTAATCCCGTTGTTTTGCTCTTAAGTCTTCACGGCTGATGCTCCCCCCTCCACACTCCACACTCCGCTCTCCTGTTTTGTGTTTTCTCTTTTGAGCAGCTTTTCGTGTGCGAATTTCGTGAGGTTAACATGTTTTTGCATCGGAAATTGACGAAGTACAATTAAATAGAAAATTGTTTCGCACAATTATGGCAGCGGGGGGCGGCGGTCAGTGGCAGGGCAAACTTAAATTCCAATTAGATGGAAAATGGTGAATGGCAGCAACCGAGATATGCTCCCTCCCCACCAGCACACAGCTGCAGCTGTTTCGGGGCTTGCGGCTCGGCTATCTATTGTGTTCGCTGCTTTGTTTTCGGCCACACAATGAATCGGTAATCGCCTTCGGCTAATTAATGGAATGGGCCAAAGGTACATGAATGCATCGTGCATCGTGCATCGTGCATAGAGATAGAGGTAAGTCCACGCTGATTCCCGCAATTGAATGGAAATTACTTCGCACTTAACTGCCTGGTATCAAGTCAAACAATTTGGCCGAGGGATTCGCCTCCTCCTCAGCAGCTCCAGCTCCAGCAACAGCATCAGCATCAGCATCAGCACTTGTTTTTCCATAAGCGGATTATGTTCAATTGGCCAGCCGCACAGCTGCCAAGGCATCGGCATTACACGCACCCAAAGCCCTCGCACAACAAAACAAAATTCTCGTCAAGCCATACATGTATATTTATTTACTGGCTTCCCGCAGGTCACCCGAGCAGCAGAAATGTAAGCCAGATCTGAGGCAGGCTAATCGGATCCCGACCCGCTGGCCTCGGTTGTGGAGGACTCGTCTGTGCTGGACGCCTCTGTGCTGGCAGAGCTTCCCTCTGTGCTGGCGGCCTCTGTGCTGGAGGCGTCTGTGCTGGAGGCGTCTGTGCTGGCGGCGTCTGTGCTGGAGGCGTCTGTGCTTTCCTCTGTGCTGGACGCGTCTGTGCTGGACGCGTCTGTGCTTGCTTCTGTGCTGTCGGAGCTTGCCTCTGTGGTCGTGGTGGAGTTGCGTGGTGGACCCCATGGACCACCAGGACCGCCAGGACCACCGGGACCACCGGGACCACCGGGACCGCCAGGACCACCGGGACCACCAGGACCACCGGGACCTCCGGGGCCTCTGGGAGGACCACCAGGACCACCTCCTGGGCGACCTTGAGGACCACCGGAACCTCCAGGACCGCCACGACCACCAGGTCCTCCTAGTCCACCACGACCACCAGGACCGCCACCAGGTCCTCCTGGACCTCCACGACCTGGTCCTTGAGCGGCGGCCAGAGAGACCACGGCGAGGAGAGCGACTAGAATGAATGTGCGCATTTTGCTATCGATGTGGGATCAGTTTGTTTTCTTGGACAGACAACTCCAACTGACCTTAGCACTCGCACAGGGTACTATATATACAGCAGAGGAGAAAACGAGTCATCGAGTCGAGCGGAGCAGCCCACAAGTGTTTCATCCGTGACGTGTGCAGGCTGAGCAAACTAACGTCAATTCGGTGGGGGCTAAGGTAAACCCCAATACACTCTTCAGGGCCTTGGGTAGCGTCACCTACGACGCAGATTCCCGCGAACAGCAAACAGCTGTTTTCGGTATGTGTTTGTCTTACATAAGCCAGCGAGAGTCGGGAGTCGGGAGTCGGGTCTCAGGTCTGATCCACAACTATCGCTGGCGCATGCAAAATATTTACCATCGATAGATACACCTGCATAATGCACTCGAAGCGTCAGCGGAAATGCTCCAATTTGTTGGTTCAACATCAACAAAGTGCTGGAGCCGCGACTCGTTATCAAATGAATATTCTGGAAAATGTTTGCATGGGCCTTAACATGCAGAGGAAATGCTTTGCCCGCAAAACAAGCTTCAGCTAATGCGCTGTGGGGACTCCTAAGAACTATTAGCAGGCATTTGGTGTTGCTTAGTTTATTTTTAATAGGACTTAGCATGGTTGCATTTAGCATTTGGTTTTACATATTTACATACAAAGAAATGAATATTCAATATGTAAATATGTACATACATACACTCTACATATGTAGATGGGCATGTAAATTAAAATCACAAATCAACTCTTGCTCTTTCTGCTCTCCCTGCCTTGCCCTTGGTGTCTGTGTGTTGTTTGCATTGAAATTTCTCGACTGTCATTTGCCTTTTCCTCCCAGCCAGCATCTCTATCTTCATCCGTCTTATTCGAACATACATTAAGATATATTCAGTGAAGCTGTTGTTTTTTTTGGCAATTGTAATAAATTGTCTTGATGTTTTATTTAAACACGTTTTCGTATTCGTATTCGTATTCGTATTTGTTTTGTTGCGCTCCATCAAAATGCTTAATTAAGCTTCGGCCTCTTGCTACTCCTTGCAGTTCGAAATCGAAAACCTGTTCGAATTGTACAGCTCTGCTGCCTGTTATTGTTATGTTATTTAATAGCCTTTTGGTTAGGGAACAAATTATAAAATGCGCAAATATTTTTGCAATTGTTTTCCACAGTTTTACCTTCTTCGATTTGCACTGAATTTTCCTTTTGAACCATGCGAATACGTGGGGGGCAGGGCAGTTCACATTTGAAAACTTTAACGATTTTCTTTGCATTTTGGGTAAAATGAAAATGGCCCACACTTTGTTCTCGGCTTATTTGATTTCCGGCCTGGTCCCCATACGGGCAATGGTGCAGTCGAGTCGAGTCGAGTCGACGGTAAAGCCAAGACCGACGCAAGAGAAACAAGAAAACAGAACAACAACAAAAGTTTTTATTTGCATTTCTTTGCCATTTCGCTGCAAAACAGAAAGTGAATCGAAAGAAGTCTGCAGGTATGCCATGGCCCTGGCCCAGGGGAGGCGGTCTCCCTGCTCCGACCACCAGCAGCTACAAGGAGCTTGTTTCATCTGGAAAAGCTCAACGGGAAACAGAAAGGAATGCCAGTCTCGAAAGGGTTGAATGCAGTGATACCCTTACGCATACTTTGTTACATGGAATAAATTAGTTTTGTTGAGTCTGACATACAATACAAAAACTAGCCAATTCGCCCCAAGGCGAGACCCCAGTCGCAAAGGCAAAAACGAGCCAAGGCGAATTCCAATCACAACAGCAGAGCGCAAGGCAAGAATGAGCGAGAGCGAGAGCGAGATCTGGCAAGAGCGCAAAGCGGATCATTGAGAGAGCTTTGCAGCTAACAACAGCTTCTGTTGGTTTTAGTGGCTATATCTCCTTGCAGTTGTTTTATTGTACTCTTGTGAAAGTCATAATACTCTTAGCAAGAGCATCAAAATCCAACTCATTTTACACAGATTCTTCTTTTTCTTCGTCATATTCTGCTGTTTCTCACTCCGCACCACTTCACGCTACTTCGGTCCACCCTTCCCAGCCACCACTTTCTATACATATAAACAATTGAAATGAATTTGTTTCCTGTACACACACCAACACACCCACACACCCACACACGTACCAAGAAGAGCAACAAAAAAAGGGAAAACTTTGCCGACAAACTTTGACTTTGGTTATTGTTACAGTTTAACTTTGTTGCTTTTGCCATGCCTTCTCTTCTTGTTCCTACTTTGATACCCTCTAGTATATGGCTTGCGACTGCAGGTGTGCTCAGCACTTTCACATACCAACATCCATTTTGGTATGAAATAAATATTTGCAACACTCTTGCACGATGATTTTTGCTCATTCATTTATAAATTTTAGCCCCAGCTCATCTCCAACAACTACTCTTACTTCATAATCGTGGTACCAAAACTCAAGTAAAAGTGAAAGAGAGGATATCTTCGGGTCTAGACACTTGCCAATTAGCTGCTCAGTTGCTCGCTTTGTTGCTTTTGTACTTGTGCCATGTGCTCTGCTCTGCTCTGCTCTGCTCCGCTCAGCTCGGCTCAGCCCTTGTCGACGCGACGCACTTGCCGTTATTTCCGCTGTTGCTGTTGTCGCCAACGCCAGACGAAGCTGTCGCTGACGCAGCCCATCTTTCAGCACGCCGAGAGAGAGAGAGAGGGAGAGAGAGAGAGAGAGAGTGAGAGCTAGGGTGGGTGGCAGAGGGGCGTGGAAAACGAAACTTTTCAAATAAAATGATTTCTTATTTAGGCATCCGATTTGAGACACGCCTCTTCTGCTACTTGCCCAAACCACAGGCACCACCAGGCACCACCCTTTGAGAGGACTCTTGAGTTTCAGTGCGAAAACCGATACTCTCAGATGTTGAGTGGATATTTTCTGATTTCAATATGTGCGACAAGCTCTTTATTTTGTTTGCTAAAGAATTTGTGGAGCTGCAGAAGGGATCTCCTCCCGTCTAGGAAGAACCGGAGTCTGAAGCCTCGGAGGTGGCGTCATCGGATGGTGGAGCATCGGATGGTGGTGGAGCCTCGGAAGAATTACCGCTCGGGCCATGACCACCAGGTGGTCCTCCAGGACCTCCAGGACCTCCGGGTCCAAGAGGGGGTGGCCCCCCCGGACCACCGCGCGGACCACCGCGCGGACCACCAGACGAAGGTCCCTGGGCGGTAGCTACAGCGACCAGCGCCAGCAGAGCAACAAGAATGAAGACGCGCATTTCGTTTTGCTTTTTGGTAGACTGAAAGAACAATTCTAACTGAAACCAACGTCCACTGGCCGGTCCCATTTATACCACTGCTAATAAGCTGCACTTGGGTCCGGCACAGATGTGGCCATCGATTGATATTTGCACCGGTCAAACATTGTATTACATTATTGTGGGATGGAAAACATCAAGGCAAATAAATAGTGCAGGGCATTTCCGACTGGGTTTCTATTTGCACAAAAGTTAATTCAACACGCTGGTGCTACAAAACAGAAGTTCCATCAGGGTTTTACATGCTTAATGATGCTCAAATCTATTCGGTTATGGATTCAGCTTCAAGCTGGACACCAAAACCTGCAGAGAAATTGCAATCATTCTTTAAGGTTTACCCCCAAACCCAAAGCAATTGTGTCAAAAGTCTTGAAGCTCTTTTGCAGGGATTTGCGCGACTCAATAACCTTCCACTTGCTGCAGATCCTTAAGCAGCGAACTGAGTTGGTATAAAAAATGTCTCACATGATTTCGTTTTATTGCCTTATGACTGTGCTGAATATGTGTCTTGCCTTCGTCTGTGCTTTGTCCCCCGTTAAGTCTTATGAATATTTCACAGTGCCAGTGGAAGTACGGGGAACAGCGGAAGATGAAAGTCGCGAAAGAAGCTCAAAGTTTGACATTCAGACGGAAGTTGCCGCTATCCTCCCATCACCAAACGTCCCGCGGAGACTCTTCTCGCAAGTGTAACAGTTTTTTGTCCCCAAATGGGATTTATTTTTGTTTTGTTTAGTTTAATTTATGAATCTATTAAAATCGTAACAATGCATGTGGGCGAAGGACCTTTTTTACAATAACTTTTGATGATCTGCTTGGCAGGGCGCGTGCTGTGAATTGTCAATAAATAAACCATTCTGACGGAGCGTCAAAGTGCACGGATAAAGCCCTGACCCGCGCGCTTTTAAAACAATTTTGTGGCTTCCTCCATGCTGAGAGTGTCTGCCCCCACCCCATCCCCTCTGTTGTACCGTTATTTCCCACTGGGTCTGAGCGAAGGTACAACATGATACAGAAGGGCAGGGCGAAGAATCGAGTTAAGCAATTTCCCAGCGAGCTTCAAAGAGTTGGGCTTCATGATATTATTTATTTATCGCCACATTGACATCTCTGCTGGTTCTAAACGGTAGGTAATGGGAGAGAGAGAGAGAGAGAGAGAGAACCCACTGATTTTGACAGTTGGTTGACCCCAGTGGTCCGGGTGGCTCCGTTGATTTGTGGTCACCTGTCGATGGCATCACGCAAATTTTGATTAGCTGAGCATCCATGCAAGCACAACACGCATCGGAATGTTGATATGTTGATGAGGCATTATGGAGCTGCTGCGCTAGTTCGAGGTTTGGTCATTTCCATTCGTTCCGCACCGCACCGCACCGCACCGTTACATTTCTCTCCGCTCCGCTTCATGTTCGTTCTGTCCCTTTCAGGCCGGGACTGTGGCCTGTTTCGATGCAGTGCCAGTCCTCAGGCAGTTCTCTCCCTCTCTCTGTCCTTTGGCTACAAATTCCAACCCAAATACCGTTATGCGGAGGAGCATGAGCGCGCTGCGGGAGGGAAGAGGACGGACAGGACAGATGGATCCCAAGTTGGTTGAGTGAACGGAAAGCAACGAAACGGCACAGGGGCCAGAAAATGTTATTATGCAAAATAATAACAACGCACCGCACTATGAAATTAAATTTTGAATCCCAGCAGTGAGTAAACTTAAAATACAAGTTATTGCAACACCAGGAAACGTTACACATGTGTGTGTGTGTGTGTGTGTGTGTGTGTGTGTGTTGCCGCATGACTGGCTTCGACTCTGACTCTGAGTCGGACTTTTTGCGGGGGTGGTTCCCACGCTGCTTCTTTGGTTCTCTGACATTTGTTGCCCTTACTCAGCGGTCGGGTATACGGGCGCAAGAGAGCGGAAGAACAAAGGAGATAATGGAAGCAAACCGAAACCCGTGTTTCTATCAGCTACTCGTAGAACTGTTAACCCACTTGAAAGGGTAACCAAAGAAAACAACAATTCCAATTTACAGAAATTTCTGATATATATTTTGTATATATGTGAGAGATTCGGAAAGAGCATTCCGTCTTCGCTGTGCAGCTGTCAGCTTTCAGCTTTCGTTCATTCCTTTTTCGGTTTGCCTTCCCCGCTCTCGGGCCCGCACTCGTCTCTGCTTTGGGCACGCTTCGTGTGTGTGCGGGTGTGCGGGTGCTTCGGTTTCTGTCTGGGACTGAGACCGTTGCATTTGCCACGTTTCGGCTCGTTTTCTTTTTCGTGGGAGTTGGAAGACAAATTGATTTCATGTCTGAAACTTCTTAAGCGCCTGCAACGGGGGAATCCTTGGCGCCCGGCAACTCCTCCTCTGTGCATCTATCCCAGGCCCGCCTAGCGTCTAGTCCTGTGCGGTCGCTGTGTGTGCTTCAAATTTGATATTGTGCACATGAAGCGCAGCCAGATAGATCCACCTACGAGTGCCCGTATTTGCCGGCAGCTCCTGCCGCTGCTGCCGCTGCTGCTGCCTTTTTGGTTTTTTTTTTCTCCGTCTCTCTCTAAATTTGTCTAGAAATTGATGCGCTCTGCTCGAAACAATACAGCAAGACAACAGCTCAGTGGCAAAGGCAACATGTTGCAATGGCCAACGCCAGGTTGCATGCTTTTGGCGCATATTTTGCGGCTCCGCAGTCATAGACATGAGAAATGGATGGACACAAATACATATCCATGGGATGTGTACATATGTATTTGCAATTTCGTTTGGTATTCCCACAAGTGTGGCCATAAATTGCCTCTCATAATACGAGGTGCAACTCCGTTCGCTGCCCATTCCCTTCCGCCACTCTCCTCTTGCTATCGATTGTATACGTACGTACGTATATCCTTTATAGTTGTTCTCCCGTCTCTCCCAATCACTTTTGGTGGCCATCAAGGAGTTGACCCAAAGAGGTTTTCTCGGACCAAAGGATACGGACTCAGCTCAAGTGGAACAAAGTGTACAAGCAGGGCGAAAGCACGAAAGGAGCAGCAGGGATAAAAACTGAGAAGATGAGCAAATTGGCAGTTCATTCGATTGGAACGGATTTTAATATGATCCATCAAGTGGCTGGCTCTACTACACATTGGAATTTATCATCGAATCGAAACCAGTCGATTCGTAATCAACTAAATGCTCCCATGACTTACGCTCGCAAGCAGCTAAATTGTGCATAAAGTCAGGAAGGATTTGGCTAGAGAATAAATAACCCATAAAAATATATGAATGGAATTAAAGTAAATTATTCAGTCCCCAAATTAGTTCAAACCGAAGACACTTAACAGCCCGAAATGCACCTAAAAAACTTGTCTGTATTTTCCATCATTAATTCAGAGAATTCCCAGACCTTACCAACAGCTGGAGCTGAAATTTAGTTGAGGTTGAACTGCCACTTTCGAGTTAATTATGCGGGGGTACAACTGGTTATAGTACTCCAAAGTCAATTATCGAATTACTTGTGCCAGTGTCAGAAGTTTTCCTAACAGAGTCTCGCACTCACACTCCTAAATATGAGATCTTGTGGTGCCACAAAAATACTTGCAGCTTCAATAAGTTGAACGTTTCGAAGGTATCAAAACGGTTTATCCACACTAAGTTCAATGCAAGCCCTTTGCCCCTTGCCCTTTGCCCTTTCCCTGTTTGCCGCTGGTAAGTAGTCGAAAAAAGAAAACAGAAAAACAACCAGAGGAAGAGGAATAACAAGAGCAACACATCGAGTGAGGGAATCTGGGAATAGTTTTTCCATCCCCCGTCCCCCCCCCTTCCGTTCCTTTTGTTTTCCACTCACAGTGCAGCTCCTCCTCCTGCTCCCGCCGCCCTGATGCAGCGGAGTATGCGTGAAAATCCTGGCAACTTGTTAGCTTATCCGGTGATTACATCGATAATGCTACGTGGTGTTTTAGCTTTCCAGCTACGTGCTGTTTATGCCCGGAGAGTCAAGCGAGTGCTGCCCCAGACACTGGCAAAGATGCGGGCATGGGCATGGGCACGGGCACTGGTGTCCTGTGGAATGATACTGCTGCCATGTCTGTTCGACTGTCTCGTCCCCCCACCGTCTTGGTGTGTTACTTTTATCCTGGACTAAGCACTCCCCACAGCACTTCACTCTACTATTTCCCTTTGTGGCAAGTGCAGTTGTTCCTTGCCAACACTCGCCCCTGCCCCCTGCCCCCGCACTTTGTACATTTTATTGCCCTCAGTCGCGTCGAGAGCTGTAAGCAGAGACATTTGTATGGGCAAACATGTATCCCCCATCCCTCCCGCCCTCAAGCCATTTCACTAGCTGTTATTCACGCGCTCAATCAATTTTTCATGTTTTTACAACCAGGAAACGGCAGCGAGCAGAACACAGCGGAGCCGGGCTAGAGGCTAGACTCGTGTCTCGGAGTGTTGCTTTTTCTTGCACTTCTTTCTTGCTGCTGCTGCTGCTGCGGTTGCTGCTCTTCTCCTGCTGTTGCCGTTTCTTGTGGCTCTCTGACACTAATGATATTTCATTGGTTCTGATTTATAGCTTCTTACTTGCAGTTTTTCGCTCTCTCTTTATCTGTGCTTTGCATTGCTAAACAGCAGCAATGAGAAGGAATAACGAGGCTCAGCATTGGATTAAGCTTATCCGCTCTCTCGCGCTCGCGCTCGCTCTCTCCCTCTCCCTCTCCCTCTCACGAAGTGCCTTTTTCTACCTGCTGCACACTCTCTCCCGATCCCACTACTTATAACTGTTCCCACGCAGAGCTGCCAGACTGTTCCAATTACAGTTTTCAAGCGAAATTAAATTGAAAGCGCAACAGTGTTCAGGCTTATGCATGGCAAACATAATGCCTGCCAGATTATCTCTTTGTGTCTCTGTTGACCAACAGACAACAAAAAATACAATAAAAACAAAGGTTATTCAGCGTCACTTGAAATTACCACGTAAATTAAATTAAAAACTTGTGAATAAAGGAAAAAACAGGTGAACAAAAAATTTGATGAAGTTTTCCTTATGCTCCGACACATACCCACAAGGCGCACAACCCGAGCCCCACATTGCGTGTTTGGACGCGCTTAATGCGGCCAGAGAATTGGTTAGATGGTGGGGGCGGGCCTCCTATCTCTGGCAAAAGTTACTCCTGCAGAGACGCTTGCTGTGGCTCCGACTGCGGCTGCGGCTGTGGCTGCGGCTGTGGGGTGCTCTCATCTCGAAGACCGTAATGTTAACGCAATTATTACGCATTTCTTATGATGTAATCAGACGCAGCTTGCGTTTCAAATGAAAATATGCCATCCCCATCCAGCTCCAGCTACAGCTCCATTCGCATCCGCAGCAGCAGGATGGCTGGAGTTGGGCCTGCCCTTTTTTGCGGCAAAACTTTTGCCAGGTAGGGCCTGGCAGGGCTGAAAATGAAGCAAAATAAAACTAAATTATGGCAATTGAAAATGAAAAGCGAAAATTAAACGCATAATGAGTCGCAACAGAGGAAAGAGAGAGAGAGAGAGAGAGAGTGGGGTAGAGGGAAGCTAAGGGTAGGCTCATGATAAAAGCAACAAGCGAGGACGAGGACGGGGACGAGGAGTACCAACGACCGGGATAACGACAATACAGGATAATACAATAAAGGCCGACAAACAACAAGAAAACTGCCAAATTATGAAGCAAAAGTTGGCGTGAAGCAATCTCAAGAGGAACACAAAGCGCAGGGCGTGTCGGCAGAGGGAAAGCGCATTATCCGAAGCCCTAATGCACTGTACTGTGCCACAATGAACAGAGCGAAGAACAACCAAGTGCCCCCACCAAGGAGTCGGTTTGGCTGGTGCTTGCTTTCCCGTTACCGTTGCCTTTGCCATGAACCTTCATTGTGAACTCTGCCACTTGAGCAGGTCGCCTGCCAGTTGGCTGATGGCTTCAGGTGGGGGTGCAGGGGGAGGCCTTGAGTATGACCGAGGCGTGGTTCGTTAGCTTGAAATGAAACGAAGGAGTAAAAGCCGAGCAAACTCACGTCCCGTAAATCAGTCAAAAGAAATGCGCTTGAGAACTGCCAGAAATCTTCAGAGTGCAAGGCGATGAAAATGTCAAGATCACAAGGGAGTAAATCCACTCAAGACATTTTGTGGTACCACATATAACTAGGCAGCTGATCCATTGTTCACTTTAAGTATTAAATATACATTTAATATACAATCAAATAATATTAAAAGCAATTATGAAATTGCATAATAAAGTCAAGCACCTGGAGACATTATCTTCGACACTCTTGTCGCCAGGCAAGCTGCACTGGCATTCACAGACATGTGAACATTTATTCGTACAGACAGATCAGCACACACACACACACACACACACGCACGAGTGAGAGGAGAGCTGGCCTGCACCGTTTCCATATGCTGCTGCAGCGCTAGGCAAACAAACGGCTCTGTCATTCAAATCTGACACAAGACAAATCGCATTGAGTGGCCTTCCAAATACATTGCATGACTGTGCTCTGCTCTGCTCTGCTCTCTGCCGCTCTCTTCTGCAACTTGCTCGAGTTCCTTCTTCTGCGAGTGAAATTCGCTACACTCGAGCAATCAATTCACAATTACGGTACCACTGCCAGCCGCTTGCTCCCGCTCCCACTTGCTGCCATTCTCATTCCCATTCTCATTCGCATTTTGCATTGCTACTCTGCTCTCCCCCCCCTTCCATTCCGGAATCGCACGAATGCAAAGTTCAATTCAATCTCTCAGTTGTCACTGCCAAACACAACATGCGGAAGGGGTGGGTGGGTGTTGCGGACAGAGGCACATCTGTTGCTTCCTTTTTTCTCTTTGCATCTTTGCTGTCATGCTCCGGGCGTGCTCCCAAATTCACTTTCGCAAGATTTTAGCTCGCCCAAGGTAACGGTAACCGAAAACTTTTTACCTCTGTGTTCTATCGAAGACAAAAGTAAATTGTAGTTGGAAAATGTTTCAACCATTTACTTCGCTGAGTTTGTACGAAGCGAAAACGAAAGCGAAAGCGAAAACGAATGTGAGAATGCGATCAGTGCTGACTTTTGTTGCTAAGCATTTAAATAAGTGCACGCGTGTGTGTGCGTGCGTGTGTGTGTTTGTAATGGCATTTTCAATGCGAAATCTAATGGAACGTGTTTAAAACAATTTGTCCCCAATATTGAATTACGCACATGAGTGCCTTTTGACTTCTTTTGAATGCGAGAGTGCAATGGCTTTGTCACTTGATGATATCCATGCAGAACTTGCAGGAGGACCATAGAGTGCGGTGTTCGCACGTACTGCATCTCCTGGCAACTTCATTGAATAGACAAATACGACGACACGACTGCGACACATGCACACATGAACTTTGCATGTTCTTAACTTAAGCTGAATCTGTGTGTCTGTGATTTAAGTTTATTTAGCTGGCAATCAATTTGCATCCTCGCAGCCATGCGGACGCGGCCGCTCCGCTCCTCTCCTCTCCTCTCCTCTCTGCTAACGGGAAAACTCTCTTTCCAGTGCAATCTCCATGTGCATGTACCGTTGTGTTCCCTTCTGTGATTAACGTTGCACCACCAGGAATATGATATTAATTGATGATCAACATGAGTAGGTGTGTGCCCTACGGGATGGAGCGCTTGTCAGACAGAAATATGCATTTTTATGTACAAAATATGTAAAAAAAATGTAAAAAAAATGTAATAATGTAAAATCCATTTCTCGCTCTATTTTGTGTACTATTTCGAGTTATGTTCTTTGCAACAATTTGACATGGTGTCAAAGGCTATTTCGCGATACAATCAGGAGCCCCAGGAGACAATTAATCGCCCAAACAGCGCTTTACATAACGACCAAAGCGAGTTTGGACGTCAACAAATGTCTGCTGGACAGCTGATGCTGCTGAACTGGTTCAACTACATCAATTGTTAGCAGTTGCATGTGCGCGGTGCATAGTAATCATATCTCAAAACTTGCACAGTACAACAGTTGGAACTTCTAGGCTTCTGGCGCTGTCTCTGCCATTACAATTAATTGTTGACTTATGCTTTGGTTCCACTGTGGAGAGCAGATCTTAAAATGCGGCGAACGTTCGCTTTAATGAAAACTTTTCGTTGCTTTTAATATCCATCCAGTGACTACTGCAAAAAAGCAGCTCTAAAGTAATTGTTGCCACGCACAAAACTTGTTCACAGACAGCCCCACGATGCTGGTGCTGGACATTTACACCATGTAACAGCCAGCGAGCAGACTTGTGGCCTTGTGGCAAATAAAAGTGCAATTTTGTTATCTAGTGTTCCTCGGGCTAGCCGTGCAACCCGTCTAACTCGTTGAGATTTGGGGCACTAATCCACGGCACGGAGCTACGCCCGAAGTCTGCATTGGACCGCTGATTGGGGAGACAGTTTTGAGTCAGACGGCGCCAAGTGCGGTACCGAAAGCGGCACTCAAACCAGAACACCATCGGCCTAGCCATATGCTGGGGACTATGCTGCGACAGCTCTGCCCAGTGCTGCTGCTGGTCGCACTGACTGTTGGTCCTGCCAGCAGTCATGCCACGATCGGGGAGTCGGAGTTGCGGGACAAGCGCGGAGCCGTCACCATTGACTTGGGCCAGATCCTTCGCAATGTGCTGCTCAAGAGTGCCCAGTTCTCCAACGCAAAGGCCGCCCTGACCCAGCCAACGAGACGACCCACCAAAGCAACAACAACAACCACAACAACTACAACGAGTGCACCACCAGTCCAGCCAGGAACTCCTCCTGCGCCACGTCAAAGACCAATCTGGCTGGATCAGCCGCATGGCTACTATTCGCTCGGCTATCTGCCCTTTGACTATGACAACGACTATCCCGCTGCCGCGGGCAGAGCACCAGCCAGACGCCCGCTGCAACCCGCGTTTGTGCAAAGGAAACCCGCAGGTCCTGCTCCACCTGCCCGCTACGAACCTGACTATGACTATGATGCACCGCCGCCTGCACCACCGAAACAAAAGTCTCCACCACCACGTCCCCGTGCGCAGCCGCAGCCGCAGCCGCCATTGCCTCAAGCCGGGCTGGGCGATCGTCTGGTGTATCAGTACGCACAACCGACTGGTAAAATACAACAACTTTTAGCTAATTGTCGAACAATTGGATTCTCTCCAACACTTTGCAGATACCTACTATAGGCCCAGCGGGCTCGGGGCGCAGGGGGAAACGGTGGAGACGGACACAGGCGCGGCAGCGGCAGCGGCAGCGGTTCAGCATGGAAACTCTGGTGCAGTTCCACCCTGGTTTCTCGTCAACTATGCGAACGAGAACGATTTGGCAGACTTCTCCCGAGTACCGGGCACGTCTTTTGGCCAAAGGGACCCAGCCTCGGGCTACGTGTAAGCGCCGATTTCCTAATGAAGCAACGAGTATTTAAGTTTGTGTGTTTGTAATTGAATATCATTGGGATCGACTAATTGTTTGTATGCTAAAACTAATAAATACATAAATGTGGTTGTAACTAATGTAAATGTCTCGCTGGTGGCTAAAGTGGCGAGCTGTCTCGCTGGTGGCTAAAGTAGCGAGACGTCTCGCTGGGCGCAAGGCCAGCTTTGGCCGATTATCAAGTGATGTAATTTATTTCTAATATGTGCCTGGCCTTCGCCCGAAACAACAAAAAAAATCAACCAACAAATGCCGCCCTGGGCTGCAGACCTCAGCTGAGGCTAGATTAGAACCTAGATTAGAGCAGGCAGAGGCACAGGACGGAGGCACAGGGCGCTGGTCGTACGCTGCCCACACTGAAGCCCGAGTGGCAATGGACCATTGTGTAAACACATGTAAGACTTGGCCAATTGTTGTTGGTGCAACAACGGGTTGTTGTTGTTGTTGTTGGCATATTGTTGCTGGCGTTGTCTGTCTGGTAAACCAAAATTGTTGCTCGTTTTCCGCATGAATCACTTGCATCATCATCATCATCATCGCCATGGCCATCGTCATCATGGCCCGTTTCGTTGCCAACGTGGTGGCCTGGCCAGGGCTATATGGGAACCACAACATTGCAAATATATGTGTGTGTGTGTGTGTGTGTATGGGTGTGACTGCACACACACACACACACGCGGGAAGGCCAAAGCGTTTGGCTCTGCACTTTGTAAGTAGCTTTTAATATATTTTGCCACAAGCCGTGGGTAAAAAAATCAGAAAATAAAAGCACACCCACACACACAATAAAAAGCAAAATAAATTCTCCTCGTGGCTCGTGTGTGTGTGTGTGTGTGTGTGTGTGTGTGTGTGTGTGTTTCAGCAGAAATTGGATTAAAATTAAAATAAAAATAAAAATAAAAAGAGGGAAAAGTACAAAATAAATAAATAAATAAAAATACAAAAAAAAAGCACGAAAATTAAATGAAATAAAATTGTGCAGCATAAAATCTGTACAAAGGGTGGATGAAGCAGGAGGGTAGGGGCAGGAAGGTTGACTGGGGTTAAGCGGGGGGGTTTTCGGGGTTAAACGCAAACAATGCCGACTTTGATTCTTGTTGCAGCAACTTGGATGGATGCCACTCGGAGTAGAGTTCACCCGATCCATTTATTGCAATTATTCGATTTAATTTCGTAAAATTTACATTCGCCACCTGGTCGCGGTTTGTCGCTGTAAATTGTTTTTCGTTTATGCCTGTCCATTGTTCGCGAATTGCACTAATCAAGAGTTGCCGCTTTCGCCACTTTCTTTGCTGCGATTTCAAAAAAGTTTGCTACTGCCGCATAAGCCACGCTCGGCTGTCCAGCACGTACACTGCAAAAAAGAAGTGTAAATGAAAACGAAACCGGGCACAAGGGCACAGACCAATTACGGGACAGACAAACATTTGATTGGACACCAAGCTCCAACACCACACTCTATGCCCCCCGCCCCGGCCATTCGTCTGCAGCGCCTGTCGGTTCTTTGACACTTTCCATTTGCTTCTCCTCTCCTTTCTCGCAGTGCCAGTGGCTTAGGGAGGGGGGGTCGGAGCAGGGTGCGTATTTTACTGCTTAGCTTAGCACTTTACACATGAGCATTTTGGCTGTCCGTTGAAACTTTCGCTGACGTTTGCAGTGCAAAACTGTTGGGCATTGGTCGTCAGTACAGTGGCAATGCCACATATGCCATTTTAACCAACAGCCACAGTACACCCAACCCAACGGGCATCCCCGTACACCCCCGCCACTGACTCGCTAAGCCCTCAATCATGTCAATTACTCGCCAATTGTTGGTGTCTTTTGGCACAGTGGAAAATGTGTGTGCACTCGGCTCTCGGCTCTCGGCTCTCGGGCCCTGACGTCTGCCTTGTTTCGCATGATGGGCATAAATTTTGATTTATGAACAGCCAGAGATACGAATAAATGTACTTATGTACATATGTGCGTGTGCGCATGAGTTCGCTTTATTAATTTGTCATATGTAGCGATGCATAAAGCGAGCAGAGATATGTACGTGTACATATGTACATACATGAATTGCAACATCATTAAGCAAAGGACAAAGGAGTCGGCAGCAGACATCGAACTGCCTGCCACATTCGAATGGAAATTCCACACACAGTTTAAGTTTTCAATTAATGCGTAAATTATGAATATGTTTGTTGTTGCTGTTGCCCCAAATGAGATTTAAATAATAAACACCACTGATTGGTCATCAGGCGATGTTCTCGCAAGCGAAATCTCAACAATTTCAGCCACTTCCCCCTCTGCAGCCCTGCAGCCCAGCAGCCCATAGCCCGGCTGATTTATGAGCTTAAAGCTCACCCCTCCCCCCCAGTCCACTCGCGCTCCAATGCTGCGTCTCAGTATTCCGCTTATTCTTTATTCATTGTTTGCCTCCTTTGGCTGCATTAACCTTGGGCCTGATCCGATTCCATTCGCTACGCCCAGGGATTGCCCGCTGGGGCTGGGGCCGGGGCCACCAGTCCGTTCCGTTTCGTTTCGTTTCGCCTGCGGGGCAACAATTGAAATTATGGATTTTATGTGTCATAAGCTTTTATTGATGCAACAATCAAATATTTATGATGACAATTCCCGCTGACAATGATGGCAATAAAAATGCTTTACTCTCATCCACCCCTCCCCCGTCGCTCTTTCTCTCTGTCTGAGGGATTTCTCTCGTTCATTTTTTGGCTGTGTGCTGGAAAGGTGAGTTGTGGTACGAGGGGGAGCTGAGGCGGGGAGCACAATTGAAATTCAATTCCGTTCGATAAGTGCCGCTAAGAATTTATATTTATGATCTGCACCTTTTTGGCCGTGTAATGGATGATTTTTTTTGGTGCTATTGTGGGTTCGATTTGGCACTCAGATTTTGCTTGTAAGAAATGGTTTAGCTGATTTTTTGGTATAATTTAAGCTGATTCGCGGTGTGTGCTGTCAGTCAGGTCGAAAGTCTTTATGCAACACAACAAAAACGTTGAGATAGCGAAATCACATGACTAGCACCACAGACCGAACCACAGACCGAGCCGAGCCCATCGCTTGTGCAAATGTTATTTATGTGGATAAGCCCAGAGAGAGAGAGAGAGAGAGAGAGCGACCCGGACATTCAGTTCCCATTCGACCGCTGCCGCATGTCTTGCTGCTGCTGCTGCTGCTCCACCTGCATGCGGATGGCATTCATCGCCCACCAGCGGCTCCTCACGGCGAATATCTATGAGTGCATCCATTATCCTTAATACACTTACGTGCACTAATGTGCTCCACATTAATGTGGAGCTGCTTGAACATTTTAGGTTTTTCGCTTGCTCCACGTCCATCCGTTCGTCCCTCCGTGTGTCTTTCTGCTTGTATGCCTGTCTGTTCCCCTCATATTCAGCACAGCCACGCCCCTCCCATTCCCATTCCTGCCGGAGCTGTACAGGGGCCACCACATGAGCTCTTTTGTTAGCTAAGAGTCGGGCACGGGGGGTCTCCTGGGCAACACGTTGGATATCCGTTTTGTTTCGTTTCGTTTTCATTCTCCATTCTCCGTTTCCTCATTTCCCCTCCTCCACCCACTTTCCAGTCTTCATTTGTGCGGCTGGCATGCAATCATGCCTGGGGGCGTATTCGGCATAGTGGGCGTGATTGCCTAAACGCCACGGCGTTTGCATTTTAAAGGCCTCGACCATCTTCTTGGGCTCCTGCTGGGACGGATCCCTTGCAACATTAATTAATGTTAAGCGAAATTGAAACGAATTCGAATCGGAAACTTGGCCCCGCCAGCCCTCCCTTTTAGACTTTAGTTCAGAGTCACAGAGTACATTTCTGGTTAACGCCTAAAAGGCAGAATTATCGTTGCACGACTTCATGGGGGAATTGCGCGAGAAGCTTTTGATAGAACGAAGAGCGGCAGCCGCTCTGTGTTCGCCGAGTGCGATCCCGAGGCAAAGCGAAAACGGACAAGGGCGAATTCGAGTCGCGCGAGCAGCGCACTGGCACTAACCAAATAGCATGTGTGTATATACGGCGAATTCGAGTCGTGCCAGCAGCGCACAAAGCGACTCGAGCGACGGCGAATTAAGGTGGGAGCGAAAAGCAGATCATCGTGAGAGCCGCAAGCTTATGCTTCTCAGAGAGCAGCCTGGAATGGTTTAGAGGCCAGGTGGAACGCACGTTTCCGTTTGTATTTTCTCTATGCTTTATGGCTAAATGCTTAAACAATTGAAAGCCGGGAGCGAGTGCATGGTGCCTCTTTGGGCCAGTTGCAATTGGAAAAAAGCAGCGGCAAGTAAATAAAAGTAAGTATGGCAAACAACGAAGCAACAAAGCGAAAGCGGCGCAACGAGGAGATGGCAGAGGAGGGGAAAACGAGTGAACGATGGAGTGAATGGAGGACGGGTCAAATTTTATGCAGGCGCAAATATTTTAAATGTTAACAATAAAACATGTGCACAGTAAATAAATGCATTTGCGAGCGAGCAGAGTGTGTTTGTGTGTGTGCGATGCAAACAGGCTGCAGCAGCAGCAACAGCAGCAGCGTCAACAGACAAACAAACAACGAAGAGAGCAAACCATAGGCAGAGTCTGAAAGTATGCAATACTCTCGGTCAGCGTGGGGAGGGGGGTGCGCTCAACCATCCTCATCCAACAACATGCAACATTCAGCAAGCGCAGCCCGTCGAAACACCAACCTCCCTCTCCGCTCTCCGCTCTCCACTCTCCACCCCACGCTCCCGCTCGCATTCAAACAAAAACCGCTTAAAACACTTTACTATCGCATTTTGGAATTGTTTAAATATTTTCGCTCTTCCTGTGTCTCTCTGCTGCTGGCTTTTGCTTTTTTATCTAGGCATGTTCTCCCTCCCGCTCCCGCTCTCTCTCTCTATCTGTCTCTGTCTCTGTCCTTCTTGGTCAGGAATACAAACAATTAAAATCCCCAAATATTTGCTTCAGCTGCAAAAAAAAGCCCAACAACAAATGTGAACTCTCTCTCTTTGCTTTCTCTCTGTGCAAAGAAGCAAGCACAAAGAGTGTGAGTAGAAAAAAAGAGCGGACCGGAGTGCGATACGTTAAAGCTGGTCAGCAATTTGTGCAGTTGTAAATATAAATTTGTAGACGCTTTACCCTTTACGTGCATGCCCATTCACATAGAGACAGAGAGAGAGAGAGAGAGAGAGAGTGCATGCATGATCTTGATCAGCATCAAACTTGAATCCGTCTCTCTCGCAGCTTTAAAGCTTTTAGGAACCCACTTGGCACACGCAGCCAAGATCGACAGTTAAAGCTCGGCCGACTTTCAGCTGTGGTCCGCAACGAAAACGAGCCTCTAATTAAAAGGGGGCAAAAATATGTTAATAATAGTCAATAATGTCAGTGCTGCCATTTTGTTGTAACACAAATTTGTGACTTTTTCCCGCCCGCTGCAGCCTCATTTTCCTGACATTTGCACTCAGTGTAACTTGACTACCGAAACGGCAGCAGCACATTGCTGTCGTTTGATCCTTTTGTCTGCGCCTAATTGGGATGCGGGAACTTTGATTTCCCGCTGCCCAGCAGGTGCAGGGATATGCCAATGTCAATCCCAAATGAGAATGCATTTTCGGGGCTCTGAGTGGACAAATTTCTGCTAATTGGAGTTACTTGACACCCATTGTGTTATTTAATTATAATTATATCCAAGTAAATAATTGAGCTCATCGATGTGCAGTCGGCAGCTTAAAGATGCAAGTTGGCAGTTTTCCCTGTGTATCTGTCAAGGCAGAGATACTCGTGCTTGTGTGCAGATAAATATAAATACACACAGACACACACAGAGCCATGCACGGGTATGTGTGTGTGTGCATGGAGCTTGACAGTTTTGCATTTGACGTCGTCACGTGGCTCTGGCTCTGACTCTGCCTCTGGCTCTCCCCTGCTATTCTTTTCCATGGGGGGGCAGAACATCAAATCATTAGCAGTGCATAAAGCGTGAAACCAGACACAGACATGCAGATGAATTTAAACTATTAGTGTTCGTCGAGAGAGAGAGAGAGAGAGAGAGAGGAAAGAGTGGTGCAGAAATGCTCCACTGCTTGCTCTGCTCCTGCTTGCATGCACTGCTTGTGCAGCTTTGTCCGATTTGCAAGGTGCATCCATCTGCTCATCTCTATCCACAGTTTTTGTTCCCCATCCCATTCCCATTCCCATTCTCGTTGCTGTTTCTGTTCTGGTTCTGGTTCTGGTTCTGGTTGGTTGACATAACCCTGCACATTGTTGTAAACGCAATCGTTGCTTCCTCTGATGCTCTACTCCCCATCCCCATCCCCATTCCTATCCCCCTCTGCTGCCGGCTGCCTTGGCCTTTATTTGTGTCGTGTGAATATAAAAGATGCAAATGCAAAGATATTTTTTCCATTTTCATTTTTAGGCTGGAAGGAAGTGAGTCCTGCGGTGAGTGCAGTCTGCAGTCTGCAGTCTGTAGATGCTAAAACATTGTCACACAATTTTATTCATTCTGGTACAGGGACACATCCCTGCTGCTGCTCCTCTGCGGCTCTGTGGGCTCTGCAATATAAATAACTCTGCTCGAGTTGTGTGCATATTTTGTGACTACAACTTCAAATAAATACAAAATGCTAGTTGGTTCTGCTCTTTGTTTTTGTCAGCCCATCATTTGACCAACACACACACACACACATGCTAAATATTTGCACAGTTTTTGCATTTGCATTTGCATTTGCATTTTGTATTTTGTATTTATTCTTTTGCTGCCACAAATCGAGCTCAAATGGCACTTGTCCCCCCCCCCCCCCAGCCCTTCAATAATCAAGGCACGTCCTGCCCTTTGCTAGTAGCAAGTGCAAAAAGTTGCATACTTTTAGGAGCACGAAAGAAAGAAAAAAACGAAAATAAATTTGTGTTAATTCTGCAATTATTGTGCCTCACATCCGAATGTTTAATAAATATATTCACTCGTATACACAATTGGGAATGTTGTGCAAATATGGCAAAGGGTCTGTCCGTTTGACAATTAGCAGCGTATTAATTATTACAAATATTTTTCCAAACTAATTAAGGCGCAAATAAGTAGGCTTTAAAATGTGCAGCACATGGAATTTGATTACTTTTGGCGACTTTGGGCTGGCTTCTATTTATGTTTATGCACAACAATTGATTCAGCATTCAATTTGCATTCGCTTTCTCAATCCAAACCGAAACCTGCTACGAGTACGAGCAAAATGCACTCCATTTTGCCTTTTACTTACCTGCTGTGCACCCCTGTGCGCCCCGAAATCGATTTATTGCACAACATGTTTTGTTCCATTTATATATTTATGTTTATTTTGAATTTATTTTTCAGTTTTCATTTTGTTTGTTGGGTGCTTCCCGCTGAAATGTTTCAGCACAAACATTTGCTTCTCGCTCGTTTCTTATGTACATAAACACAAAGATCGCAACTGAACATTGGAAATGCTGCTCGAATGTGTCTTTTCGCCTTGTCTCTCATTCTGCTGTGTGTTGAATTTGCTTGGATATTCCCCACTGGGTCTTTGTGTGTATTATGCAATGCGTAATTGTTGAATATTTGTTGTATATTTAGTTTATGGCTTATCTTTTGGTATGGTTGTAGCGTAGTAGACATTGAATGCTTTACGATTTGAATGGTAGTTTCCCCCTCTCTGCTTCTGGCTGCTGGCTGCTGGCTTACGAGTAAGTATTTTCACATTCACTTAGCTATTATTATTATTATTATTATTGTTATTGTTATTATAGTTTCGCTTCCCTTAAATGTATCTTTGATTTTGCTTATCCACCAACAACAAAAAAAAAGTATTCCCTATGCATAATTAACTTTAGTTTGTATTTTTATTTAAAATGTATTCGTCCTTCCCCTTATGCATACGAGCGCATGTCCTTGTACGTATTTGAGTCAGAGAGTAGTCAGCTTTGAAAGACTTAGACTAGCATGGAGCTGGAACTGAGGAGGGGCTGGATATGTTCTTGGGGATATGAGCACACGAATTGTATTTTATGTTTCTCCTTTTCTTGTGAGTTGCTTTTAATGCTTTTGGCACACTTAATTCTGCGTTCGTTTCGTTCTTGTTTTACATAATATTTAAGCATTCCATCGATAGTCATTTTTGGCATTCGAAACACTTCATGGAACTGGGATGAGGACTAAGGATGCACTTCAAGTGCAGTCCAGTTCGTCTGTCCCCGTGGGGGCTGTTGTCTTACATTCTAGTGTAGTCCGCAAAAAAAAAAAACGAAAACATTCGCCAGATCACTACGAGTGTGGATATTTACAATTTGTATGGGATATGCGTAGAGTTCCACTGAGGAACACCAGCGATTAACGATCTGTAGTCTGTAGTCTGTAGTCTGTAGTCCATGACTACCCACCCCCTTGAGCACTTACTTATATACAGAACTCTGGCTTAAACGTAACCCATGGGCACATGCAATACAATAGATTTCTCCTGGAAACACAACACACAAAAACACAAAAGCACAAACTGAAATTAAGAATTTCTCTTATGGGTTAGACAACGAGAACGAAACACGATAGATGTTTCCCTTCCATGTATTTATGTTTGTGTGCGAGTACTCCGGAGCAGCCAAAGCCATTCGAAGAACCGAACACCGAACACCGAACACCGAACACCGATATATCTGAATATTCGAATTATTTTATACTATATTTAGTTGAGTTTTGTCCTTTGGTTTTCTTCTCATTTTCCACTAACGAGGTAACATTTAAACGCATTTTCTTTTCCACTTAACTACGAAACTTTAGGTTTTACTTTTTCCACTTGCTTTTGATTTAATATTCATTCGATTTGGCCAGCTCCTCCGCTCCCTCCCTCTCTTCCTCTCTCTCTCTCTCTCTCTCTCTGCCTCACCCTTTGTAATTAGCAAGATGATTAGCTCGATGATTTATGCTCCGACTTTGCAGTCTCACGGGAGAGAGAGAGAGAGAGAGGGTGAGAGAGCAAGAGTGCGAGCGAGTTAAGCTCCCCCCCCCATATAATCGCGTTTGTGTAATTACAATTGAATTAAGCTATAATAATCTTACTTTGTTGCCGGTGTCCGGGCTCCTAATCCTTGCATGCTCCAGCCGATTCTGGCCGTCGTCGCTGATCTTTCGCAGTACTCGTGCTCCGCATCCCCGGCCCCATTTAGCTCGAGCCTCAAATTCGTTTCCTTTGTGTCCTTTTGTCTGGCGGCGCCCTTTGTGTACAAGAGCATTGTGGCCGCCGCCGTTGTGGTTGTTTTTGTTGTTGTTTTTGTTGTTGTTGTTGTTGTTGGTGCCACCGCCTCGGCTGTCGCTGTTGTGGCTAATAGCACCAATAGGGCTAATATAAATGTCTTGATTAGCTGCATTGTGCCCTGTGCCGGTGCTGGGGCACGGGTCGAATCTGCTGAGCTGCCCAGCTCCGGCTCCTGGGTGCGGTCCTTGTACAGACGACCATTCTGGTTGCGTGAGCCCTCCTCGTGCCGATTCTCCTTGTGACGGTTCTCCACCTCGTGTCTCTGCATAGCAAGAGAGAGAGAGAGAGAGAGCTTGCGTTTTGTTTGGTTATTTGATGATGATTTGGAATGCTTACCGTCACTTCGTTGATTTCATCATCGCGCATTTGCTTCCTGCCGGGACGTTCCATTTCTGTGCAATAGAAAATATCGATCAGTGAAGCAGTTCCACGGAAACATTAGAGTACATTGGCTATGCAGATATTCAAAGGCAAAGGCGCAGCCAGAACAATGAAAACGGTTTACACTTGCTCTCCCTCTTTCGCTCACTGTGGCCGTGTTACTCATAACTGCGTAAAGAGGGAGAGCATAAATCTAATTATAAACGGCGCAGCGACTGCATGTGAAGCTTTCGGGGGTGCACGCAGCAGCATTTTGCATGCAGCTTTGATCAGCAAGAGGACAGACAAAGACAGACACAGCGCAAAAGCTCAAAGCTTGACTTGGCGAAAGAATGCACATGCTGGCGATGCATGAAGTAACTGTGAGGAGGCCTCGTCGGTGGCAGAGTTACTCATTGGTTCTGCTTAATTCAAATTTTTTTTTCAAAACAAAGACTATATATACTATATATGTTATATACTATTATGAAACAATTATTATGTTTTCTCAAATTGCCTTCAAAGGGTTAATCAGCACAGTCCATTGTCGTTGCACTCACACCTGCAGCGAGAGCCCTTTCACTCGCGCGTTCTGCCTATTTTTGCCGACGAGACCTCCTTATAAAGTTGCTTCATGCTGGCGATGCACCGTTTACGAGCAGCTGTACAGCTGCTTGCTGAGACTCCGTTGCGCTGCTGTCGAACGAAAGAGGCGAAAGAGAGACAACGATAACGAAGCGCAAAACTATCACACGCACATAACTAGCGCTCGTTCTCTCTACTGTTACACCATTCTGTATGAACACAACATAACGACTGGACAAATGAGTTCTTGGGCTTAAGATTTCCAATATTATGATGTGCTGAGCCTTTGAGTGAGGTGTGTGTATTCACTTACCATACAGACGAATGGTGCCTTCGGTGTCCCCGATGCTGTTCTTTGAGATGCACTTGTAGCCACCGAAATCGCTCGACTGCAGCCGCTTAATGTGCAGCACCATCTCCATGGAGTACATGTTGTGCTCCTTCTCGGTGAGGGCATAACGATCGCCGGCAATAATCATTTCGCCTGCGGCAGAGCACAGAGCACAGAGCAGTCGATGAAAACGAGATGCGATGCAATGTGATGAGGTGTCACGAGGTGTGAATGGAGTCATGAATACGAAGCAGGGCCAAATGGAGGAGACAAACCAAATGAGTTTAAGTTACGGTGCAAAAAGGAGAGAGACAGAGAGAGGGATGGTAGCACGGAGAATGCTGTTGATGAAAAGTCGGAGCCATGCCATTGATGATGACATTTCTGGCATGGCTGCTGAACGTTTCACGTTTACGCTGTGGCTCCCGTCACGTTTGCAATATACGTCAAATGCACTTGACAAAAGAGCCATCCAGCTCGAACTCCACTCCACACCACACCACACCGAAACTCTTTCCACTCTCCACTCTCCACTCTCTTCTTACTCGTTTCTTCTTAACAATAAAATATTTGAGCGTCAAACACGAACCAAATAAAGACAAATTGCGACATTGAAAGGTTTATAAAGTTTCAACGACTCTGCCCCAAACTTGCCAAATGCTAAATGAAAAATTCAATTCGTGGCCTTTTGGCTGGCTTACCATTCTCGCGCTGCCAGTAATTGATGGCCTTTGGCGATGCCTCGACATTGCAAATTAATGTGACATCCGTTAGGACCGGGGCGCCGACCAATTGATTTGGCACTTGAACCAGCGGATGAACTGCAAAAAAAAGAGAGAAGCAAAAGAGAGAGAGAGAGAGGAAAAAGAAATGGGAGACTGAGAGTTAGTAAGTTGGTTATGCCAATCCCAATTGTTAGCCCATCAGCCACTGTGACCTTGCATCCCAATCGGACTAGACCGGCAATTAAGCCCCAAACGGACCCAGAGTCGAACTTCAAATCTGTGGCCCGGGTCTCGGGTGGCAGTCCTCGTTCCCAAGCCCTCAATCCTTTCAAGCTGTTCTGCGCCTTCTCCATCTGTTTGTTAATGGCAGCAACAGCTTCCAACATCTGATACGATTTTAATTGAAAATGAATTATTTTGTTGTTAGAGCAGCCAACAATCAGAGCCAGGGACTCTGCGCTGACTAACCGTCCATCCTTCTCGCCCAATGTCCTCAGTGGTTAGTGGCATATTTCACTCTCTTTTTTTTCGGTTTGCTCCATTGGCTTTTGTTGCTGCGAATTGAACCTCAAGGACCCAGCGAATCAACCATTCAAAACCAACATGGATATGCTGCAGGAACCGATGGAGGCTCCTTATGGCAGGAGTATCCGTGAGTGTTTTACCCAACTTTCCCTTCAGTTTCCATTGCATTTCCTGTTTAGGGCATTCAGAGTTCACCCTAGTCCCTAGTTCGCCACTTCTTCCTTCTTCCTGTGACTTTAAGCATGTTTTCTCGTGTCGTGTTGAGATTTTTGCACATACATTTTTTCTTTATTTCCCATCATTTGTTTTCCCTCTTTTTGTGCGCTGTCTCGCCTTTTATCTCCCTCTAGCCTGGCTGTCTTGGCTGGCCAGCGGGAAGCGGTAGAGCCAAGGGCCATGGAGCACCAGCTCGGGGCTAGCCACTCGGCGTCATTGTTTTTTGGTTTTTCAACTTTGGTTTTCCCAACCGCCCGCAGGCAGCTGGCAGCCGGATCCCTGCTCCATCGCTGTGGCAGCTGCTGGCTTCTGGCTTCTGGCTGCTGGCTGCTGGCTGTGTTCGAGCGTTCATTATTGGTCAATTTATTGGATTTGTGCATGCTCCATTCTGCATTCCCCATTCCCCAAGTGTGTGTCCGTGTCCGTGTCCGTATGTACTGCTGTCCGTGTGTGTGGAAGGAGTCAACCTCCTACGCTGCACAGCATATGTGTCGCTTGTGTGGTGTGCACTCCATGCCCCGCGGTAGCCTACCACTTATTGAAAATTAAATTTACCCTAATAGAGTTTTGTAGCAGGCAGCTGCTGCCTGAGACGAGAGAGCGACTAACAGATGGAATCATTTTCCTGCTGGATTTTTCGTTTATTCAAATTTCTTCATGGAGAACTCTTTCGCGTCTAGCCTTCGGTGGTGGTGACGGTGCCGCTTGTCTCGGTGGTGCTGTCACTGCTTGAACTGCTTGTCGTGGTGCTATCGCTGCTTGAACTGCTTGCCGTAGTGCTATCGCTGCTGGAACTGCTTGCCGTGGTGCTGTCACTGCTTGAACTGCTTGCCGTGGTGCTGTCAGAGCTGCTCTCTGTGGTCGAAAGGCTTGGGATGGGGCCGCATGGTCTGGGACGACGAGGAGGAGGACCACCGGGTCCACCGAAACCACCAAAGCGGCCAGGTCCACCGAAGCCACCGCGATCCCTACGACCACGGCCAGCAAATCCGCCCAGAGAGCGACCGCCACCGCCTCTGCGCCCACCACGACCACGGCCAGGACCTCCCTGGGCCATGGCGACCGCCACAAGAGCCAGAAGTAAAATTGCAATGTAGAAACGCATGCCAAGTCTTAGAGGGCAACCCAGATGAGCAACTGACTCTCTGCCAGCCACCGGATCACCTTTTATGGGCAACTTTCGGCTGGCGCCTCCGTCACCGCTGACGTCAGAGGAGCGGCAAAGCTTTTTCTGTGTGTGTGCTTAGCTGCAGCATGGCCAACATGAACCCCCAAGAATCTAACCGTAGTTCCATTCTTTCTTCTCCGCCTTTTCTTTGATCGCCGGAATGGGTTTTTCGGCGGCGGCCTGACAGCTGTCGAGGCCTGAACATTACTTTTAATAAACAAATAACTGACGTACAGAGATCTGCGCACTTGGAGTGTGGAGAGCTTAAAGCAAACAAAATCTATTCATTTGGTTGAACAAGCGACTCATCGACTCATCTGCTGCCAATTAAGGACTGCTCCGCTTTAAGTTGCCGCCCCTGCAAAGCCCAGGGATCCACTTGATTTTCTGATTAGAATCAATCAAGCAGTGGGGTGGGGGGTGACAAAACAACAAAAAATCAAAGCCAAAGCCAAAGCTCTCACGCAGCCACTTAGTCAATGAGAGAGAGAGAGTGCGAGAGTGGGACACAGAGAGAGAGGAAGAGGAGCCGCACACACATGTGCACATGTACATATGGATTTTTAAATTGAAATTGAGTCGGGGTGGAGCCAATGTCAACAGTGAAGAGCGGGAGAGCGGGAGAGGGAGAGCGCAAGCCAAAGCAATAACGGAACAAAGGAACAAGTGGAAAGCATCTTTATCGATGCTGCCGAAGAGGAGAGCAAGTCAAGGAGATGCTGCCACCAACTGATGGAAATGAAATGAAAGTAGAAGGAAGACAAAAACAACAACAAAAAAAACAAAACGAATTTGTGGCATAGATAAAATAAAAATGAAAATGAAAATGAAAATTAATTTTTGCGGCACACACTACGCGTGAGTGCGAAACATTTTGCCGCTCGTGTCAATATAATTTCCCGATAAGATCTTGTCTTACGCCAAAGTTGCTGCTTCCAGCGCGCCCACCACCACCAGCGCTCTCTCTCTCTCTCTCTCTTCGCCGCTCTCTTACTGCTGGCCAAGCGCGCCGCTACCTCGCGCTCTCTTCGCTTCTGGCGCTCTTTCGCCTCCCACCTGCTTCCCCCAGTGCTTGCCAAAGTGTCGTCGCTCGAACTTTTGCCCCTTTCGAAAATTTCATTAACTTTGATGCAGACAAGGAGAGGAAAAAGGTGCGGCAACTGCCCTTAACAATTACACCACACACTGAAGCAGGGCAGGGCAGGGCACATGACGAAGGCTCCTTAAAGTTTTACAACATGAACGTGACGCGTTGCTGGCTCCGTGTCCCAATGCATTTGGAAAGTTTGGCGGCCACGTGAGGGAAGCTGCCGGATATCGGAACGGAAACACTTGCAGCTTGGCGCCCAAAGCGTTATTGCTGCGGTTCTGTTCCTGTTTCTCTTCCTGTTCCAAGACACACACACACGCACACACACACGCACATCATATCCGCGTTGGGCAATAAGTTACCATTATGATTATTATGCTGCATTAGCTTGTGCCCTGCCGTTCCCCATAAATCAAAAGGAAACCATTTTCTTCGTGCGCCACCACCCACCCCACCATGCATCATCCACAGTTTGCTGTTGTGCGCTTTATGGGTTCGGGTTTCTTGTTCGGTTTACTCACAGTGCACCTGTAGCTTCATCCGCTTGCTCACCGATGGCGGCACTCCGTTCGAGGCGATGCACATGTAGGCGCCCATTTCCGATCGCGTGACTTTCGAGAGCGTCAGCATTTCGCCTTCGACGGACGGGGCTGATGGATGGATTGGCATGCGGTTAGTCGTTGTCCAGGTCAACCTGGAGTGGAGTGGAGTGAACCTCACCTTTGGTCTTCTGGTGGCCGGCGTGCCGTGCAATAATCTCGCGCCCATCCTCGCGGCGCCAGGTGATCCGCGGCTTGGGATGGCCGCGTGCCCGGCACACCAGCTTGGCCGCGCCGCCCTCGGGCACCATGAGATCGCCAGAGGTCTCCTCGTTGATAATGTCCGGTGGTATGACCACCTCCAGGGTGGCTGTCTGCAAGTGAACGGAGCAAGAGATTGGTCGGGGATTAGTCAAGTGCAAGTGGGAAAGCTTAACTTTCCCTTGTTTGCCAGTAGCTGGAGCCTGTTTGTGCGTACAGTTGCCGCAAAGCACAGCCACAGCTCAGTGGAGGTACAGCCTGCAGCCGTTAGCTCTTAGTGCTCGAAGCAGGTTTGTTGGTGGTCAACGATTTAGCCGACAAATTGTCTCATTATGCGGCCATTCCGCAGTACTTTTTGCTCATTCGCGTTGCCTGTTTTTTACATTTGTGTTTCATTCTGCGGTTGTTGACTCCCCCCACAAGCCATAACCGAATTGCTGCTATCATTGTCGTTGTCGTTGTCGCTGTCGTTGTCGTTGTCGTTGTCGTTGTCGTTGTCATTGTGTTCCCGCTGCAGTTGACAGTTGTGTCATAAAATAAAGTTGACGTCAGAGCGAAAAGGCAGGACGAAAAAAATACAAGCGCGAAATGTATAAGGGGAAAGGCTTGAAAGGCAGAACAGGCGAGGAGAGAGAACGTGGAGCCTGTTTGCTTTTTATTTGTCTCATATTTGCTTTTCACTCGATTCGCTTTGTTAGGTTGATTTTATTACAAGCCCCAGGCAGGCTTGGGGCTGGCTTCCACCATCGTCTCTCGTGCAGCATAAACGAAACGAAATGAAATTGAAAACGCAATCGTTTTGCACATGTCGAGCGAGAGCGTTTAATGACAAAAATAAATAACAAGCAGTGCGATGATGCAACGTGGCAGCTCCACCAGCATGGGCAGAGAGCGAGAGCGAGGGAGAGTCTCATGTGACGCTCCTCCTGCCACCTGTTTTCGCAGGGCGTCTGCCCTGGCCCTTCCGTTTCCAAGTGCCCATTAAAGCGGTTCATTGTTTATACATATTTCGGTTTTAAACCACCCACAGCCAAGGAGCGAAAAGTGATGCTGCACACACATATGTGGCGCTGCTGCAACTTAAAGCTGAGCCACTGAGGATGTGAGCGCAGCAGCCAGAATAATTTCATTATATGCTCTGTGCATTCTCTCTCTCTCTCTCTCTCATTTGTTGCCTTACTTTCTGTCAGATGATAGCCTTGATTTCGAACCACTCAAACGAGGGACAGTTCTGTTGGGTTGCTTTTTCCGGAGACTCACTGCAGCAGAGTGTGGCTCCACATGGGCATTTTGTGTGCCTGTATTTTACCCTTAAACTTATTTTAGTGCACAGTGTGCTTTATTTCACTCACTTGAGTTTTATCATTTGCAACACAAATCAAACCCTAATCAATTCAGTTTCTCAGTAAACTCACCTGCATCTTCATGGGATCCGTGTTGACTTGACACATGTATTTGCCGGAATCCTCCATTTTGACGCTGCGTATGTTGAGTGTCCAAGTGTTGTAGTCGTTGTGCTGCACCGTTAATCGATCATTGTTGGTTATCACGTGCTCGTGTATGGCCAGTATTGCCTTGGCATCGGCCTTAATCCAGGCAACCTGATGGCGTTGCAATGTGCCAAATGCCAGACAGAGTCCAAGTCAGAGTCAGAGTCAGAGTCAGAGTCCGAGTCAGGAAATAGGAATGGGATGACCATTGTTGATGACACAGCCAGGCGTTCCCCGTGTGTGTGTGTGTGGCGTTGATGAAGACAATGTAAAAGTGTTGTTTGTGTTTGTGTTTGTGTTTGTGTGCCAGATGTTTTGAAATTGCAGTTTGATAGCCCATCCAGCACCAACAACAGCAACACCCAGCCACACCATCGATGTCGATGTTGATGGGAGTGAAAACGTTGTCATATTTAGTTAATGTCCCTCATTGCCATTGTCATCATCATCATAAACAGTATCCAATATCATATTGGTATTAGCATTAGACAGCGTTTCATTTCGTTTTCGTTTTCGTTTCCGTTTCGATCCGAAGCACAGCACCAGATCACGGTACCATTCAAATCGATTTGCGGATGTATTAGAATTTAGTTGGTTGGCAGTTGGCAGCCACCGGCCATCGTCAGTGCAAAATGGGCGTTGGGCGTTGGTCAGTGGGTGGCAGAAAGTTAGGCATTGGTGTCGGTGTCGGTGTCGTTGACAATGGATTCAAAAGGCGCAGGCGATAGTGTTGATAGTCAGTTTGGGGTTGTCGTTGTTGGTTGTTGTTGGTTGTTGTCATCGTCAGATGTCAGCGCAATTTGACGCCATTTCCATTTTGTTGCAACAGCAGAAGCAGCAGCAGTCGGCATCAGACGTCGTTGTTGCCGCAAAGTTTTTGCAAAGTTTTTTGTTGTTTTGTTGGTTTTGTTCAAGGGATTTTTAGTCGGTTTTTGGGTTTGAGTGCAGATTGTTAAGAGTCAGATTGGATGTTGTTGGGGGATATGAAAAGGGATATTTCAAGTGCAATTAGTGGAATTGGGTTTGCGGTTTTCGGTTTTCGGCGTCCATCGTTGTTGGTCATTTGGGGAATGGTTTTCATATGTGTGCGGGAGTCGGGTTCAGTTTTTGTGTTTTGTGTTTTGTGTTTTGTATTTTGTATTTTGTGTGAAGAGAAGAAACATTCGACAATTAGTTAACATTTTTAGCTTACGCTCTGCTTTCGCTGGCATTCATTTCCCATCTTCTATTTGGGGTTTACACAGATACAATTTTTTTTTTTTTTTTTTTTTTTTTTTACAATTTTTTGTATTCAACCAAGGAATAAAACAAACGTGACACACGATGGTTAGGTACGCCGCAGATGTTGCAAGACGCTTGAAGTGAGTGAATTATGTGTGGATGTGAGCCACCAAATGGATTTAAGTGTGAGAACAAAGCTCTTTGGCTGCTGGTAAGTGTCACAGCCACCCACATTCCACTTCCCATTCCATTCCATTCCATTCCATTTGGAGACTTGCAAGAACTGGGCGAACGGAACGAAACGAAACGAAACGAAACGGAATTCAAAGCAAAAAAGACAGGAATAATGGGTGCAGTTGGCGGTGCGTTCTGAAGCGGCTAATCAGTTGGCATTAACATGGCATGCACAATTGGAAACACAAAAAAAAAGAAAGAAAGAGAAGAAGAAGGGAAAGAGGAAGGGGAAGGGGATCAAGATACACATCGCCAGGTCGCGGCAGCTTATCCCACAGAGACGCAGTTGCCAGGCCAGCCAACTCTTTCTCTTTTTCTGTGGCTCTGTGTCTGTACATAATATGTACGTATGTACGTAGTTTTAATTAACATTATGATGTGCAGACTAAGCTCAGGCTCCGAGTTTTAGTTAATAGGCTTAAGCAGCTTTTCTACGGTCCAAAATGGGTTTCACAAGCTGCTGCTGTCAGCGAAGGAGCGAGAGAGCGAGAGAGCGGAAGGGGCTCGAGCGTTGCCTTTTATGCATATGAAAGCCACTTTTTAACTACATATACACGTATGTACATGTACATGTACATGTAGAATACATATGTATCTGTTGGCTCGGAGGATAATAACTTTTTCGCAGTGTTTTGTTCGTTGGATAAAGTGGGAATATTTGACATTAGCTCTTTGATCTGGTCTCGCAGCTGCGGCGATTGTTTGCCCCGCGCAATCCAATAAGTAGGAGTGCCAATACAGCCGGGGCACGGGGCACGGGGCACGGGGCCCATGCGTGTGTGTCAACAGCAGGACGAGAAAGGCAGGCACGGGCCTCTGCCACAGCAAATAAATATCCACGGACAGTGGTGTGTCCGTCCGTCTGTCCGTCCGTCCGTCTCGCTCTTTATTTATTTACTCAATAAAGCAAATTTATTGAGTAATGCATGAATGCGATGGGGCAACGGGGCGGATCAAACAAAGGCTCAAAAGGATTGTGACGAAAGGCGGGGCAAACAGGAGCACCAGCAAAAAAGGAAAGCGCACAAATGTAAAGGGGATTGTAAAAAATGTTAAAAATGTAAATGCAAATAAAGCGAGCAAATGTCATAAAGTAAGTCTACAGTTACACACACACACACACACACACACACACACAGAGAGAAATGCTACTGCTAAAAAGGACTACGTGAAAGCACACACACACACACACACACAAACACACAGTGGAAGAAATTTACATACATAGATTCATAGTTACATACGAAAAATGGTGCAAAGTTTGTTTCGGTTTGAACTCGGTGCGCTTGAATTGTATTTTTTGTATTTTTTTTTTGTATTTTTTATTTATATTTATTTATTTATTTTTTGTTTTTCAGAGTTGAACTAACCGAAAAAGGAAATACCAACGAAATGGACCAAAACAACAAATTAAAACACACAAAAAAACAAAGAGAGTAACCAGAGAGACAGAGAGAGAGAGGGAAGAGAAGTGAAGTGAAGAGAAGAGCCAAACAAAAGCCGAAGCTCTTAATATTCCTTGGATTAGATTTTTCTGCTTGCAGTTCGAGTGGCCCCAAGGCTGTTGATTCGCCAAGAACCAACCACAAATAGCTGCTGAACAATAAACTAAATCTATAATATACACATTTGCCCCCAGAGCTGCTGCTGCTTCCCATTGTTCCCATTGTTGCACAAATGGGCGAACAACAGGCAGCAGCAGGAGCAAATTATGCGTATCTAGCATAGGCAGTGGAAGAGAGAGAGAGTGAGAGAGGGGGGGAGAGTGGGATAGGCAACACGCGCGTGCATGTAAACATGTTTATAAACATGTGTGTATGTACACATGTGTGCCAGTGGAAACGTTTTGCGTTAAGTGCCGCTCCAGTTCCAGTTCCCGTTCCAATTCCATTTCCAGCTGCACACAAAAAAATGATCCTTCTGTCAATTTGGAGTCTCCTCGCGGTCTTCAATTGTCAGTTGTTTTCGCCTTTGTTCATTTGCTACACTTTATATATATATATTTATTTATTGTTTAAATAAAACGAAACCATTCCCGCTCCACTTTCATTTCGCTGTCGCGTTGCTTTTATTTGATTGAAACATCGAAGGATTTATACGAAATGGCGTTTTTATTTATGAGGCCATTTCGTTGATTAACACTCTTTGACGTGCAACGCAAACAAGCGCAGAAAAACAGCGCCACAAACGAATGCCAAAAAAAAAAACAAAAAAAAAGTAAAAAAAAAATAAAATTTAAATGAAAAAGAAGCTTCGGATCTGAGCTATCTAATCGGCAAAGAAGCGATCAATTTGGTGCACATTTTATTATTTAAATTTGATTTCGTTCCCCAGTGCTTCAAGTGGCTTTGCTGACGATTCAACTTTGATTGAAGCTTTGCCAATCTCCGTGGGATGTGCCCTTGTGGTGGCAGCTTAGAACAAATGGTTTAAAACAATGCTTTAAAGCGATTTAAATGCATATTGATATAATGACTTAATTTGTTTTCATTGTCCATTCGGTATCGGGCCAACCCATCGCACCCTAGGGCAGGGCAGGGCAGGGCAGGGCCTGTTTTGCATATATTATTTATTTATTTTATTTTTTAACGCTTGTCGACTGGCAACTGGCGACTGTTTATTGTTGTGAACAACCATCGCTCGCAGGTCTCGCTTAAATTCCTTCCTTTATGCAGGACTCGCGCGGGGTGGGCCGCGGCCCGGCTCTCTGTGAGTGTTATAAATGAAATGTGAGTGATAATAATAATATAATACGCTGATGAAAACAATAAGCTAGTCGTTGTCCGTTGTGCGCTGTGCGCTGTGCGTTTTCGGTCTCATTTTCGTTTTCATTTCACACAAATGTTTTTTTAAATATATTTCGACCTCGGCTTGACTCTGATCTGTTGAGTTCCTCGTTGCTGCTGTTATGCAGAGTGCTCTCTGGATATTTATATTGGGTGTGTACATACAGATGAATAGATTTGAGGTGCAATATTTTCTATGTTTGGATATTGTATGGCAGCTACACTTGAAACTCAACAAACTAACTATGTGCGAGGTTTACTTGGTGTGGATATGGGGATTATTATATTATTATTATTTGGTGCAGTCTTTGGGGGTTACATAATTGCGATAGTCGCTGTGCTGTGCTGTGCTGTGCTGTGCTGTGCTGTGATTTCGTTACTATCATAGTTAATATTTTGATATATTTTATGCTGATGTTTGTAGTTGGGCAAATCGTTACAAACTGTTTACAAATCTCAAATATTTGGTGCACTTCAAATGACAGAAATGAAAGGGGAGAGAGTATACCAAAACCAGAAACAAAGATCGAGTAGAGAGGGTAGAAGATCAACAGAGAACTGAACAATTAACTGATCAAATGATGAGTAAGAGAGAAACAAAGTAAAACTCATCCAACGCTGCGTCGCTGAAACCGATACATACCTTGGCGGGGACTGTCGCACCGTCACCACTCACCCGATGACCACCCAAATTGTTCACCACACACGTGAATGTCGCGTCCCGGCCCTGGGCGATGGTTACATTCTCCAGCGGTATGACGAAGTCCGGCTCGAAGGCGCTCACTGTTGAGATTTGGTTTGAAACGGTAAAATCTTCATTTCAATTGACATTTCCATGAAGAGAAAACATTTTTTTAACAATTAACGCAATTTTTCTCATTCAAATTAATCAACTACAATTGCTGTCTGTCTGTCTGTGTGTCTGTCTGTGTGTGTGTGTGTGTGTGTTGGTGTGTGTGTGTGTGTGCAAAGCAAAGCAAAAACGTTCCACACTCAATGAACAACAAAGATTTGAAAGCTCGATCGTACAGACGGAGTTCCCCACTGGAACGTCTCGCTCCAAGTTCAAATCAAAAGGGAATTCGAGCATTTGAAGTGGTTTCGGAGGAGAACCTCTAGTGGATTCTCGATCTTTGTTTGCCGCCTTGCTCCTTGCCGCTTTTACTCACCAACAAAATTGCACAGCATCAGCAGCAGGAGCGTGAGCCAATGGCTTCCTCGTGCTCCGATTCGTCCTGCGAATCCTCCGGATTTTCCTATCTGCACTTCCGCCAGCTTGCCTCGATTCTGTTTCAGAGTGTCGGATTCCACGTTCAATTCGCTGCTGCTTCGTGCTGCCTCGAGCATAAGTTCGCTGAGTTTCTTGACTACCAGAATCGCCATCATAAGACTGACGCAGTTCCAACTGGCATGACTTTATGCACCCACCTTGCCGGCTGTTAGTGCTGAAAATACACAAAAAAGCAACCAAAATCCAATGAGCAAAACCCAATTGAGTAATACAAATTCCTCAATTTAAATCTAAATATTGAGCAATTGTGCTGAGATTTTGGGAGCCGATCAGCGCGATATTTGGCATGGCTGCCATAGGAACCATCGCTCAAATATCGTTTACGTTTTCCACTTTGCGCAACCCTGCACAGGCATGGGACATATATTAGGTACAGTTGCGACTTTGTTCGGCAAATGCTCTGCAAGTGCAAAAATAACAACAAACGATGTTCGATATCACATACCATAGGCTCTAGGGACAACAAACAATCACCTCTTTCTCACAATAAACATTCCACAGGGTAAAGGCCAACTGTCCTTATTATTTTTGCCATGTCTGTGTGTATGCATGTTTGTATGCATGTATCCCCATCCCATCAACACGCGCTCTCAGCAGCCATTTTCCTCCTCGACCGCTGACGTGGCCCAAGCCCACCCAGTCCTTTGGCCATTTTACAACACTGCGTCCGTGTCAGACTATAATAGGCGAAAATTCGGAAAGTCATTCATTCGCATTGAAGATCTCCAGGTCAAAGGTTTGCTCGGTTCTTGCTGTGTGCTTTTCGCAATGCCAAAACATTGTTTCAACAAACGTAACAAGTATAGCCACGAGGATATGAGTCGCGACTTCAACGAGCTCGAAGAACGTAAGTGCGAGCAGTGGCAGCTGCTCTTTCTCTTTCTCTTTTTCTTTCTCGTTTTTTTTTCTTTTTTTTTCCGTGTCTAACCTGAAACTTTTTCTTCAGAGCTTCGCAGGGATCAAGTACTCTGGGCCAACCAAGAAATGGAGCAGCCACCGGTGGTGCAGGCAGAGCCGCAAGCAGGGCCGCAAGCAGAGCCTCAAGCAGAGGAACCAAAGCCGCAAGCAGAGGTGCCTGCAAAGGAACCAAAGCCGCAAGCAGAGGTGCCTGCAGAGGAACCAAAGCCGCAAGCAGAGGTGCCTGCAGAGGAACCAAAGCCGCAGGCAGAGCTGCATGCAGAGGAACCAAAGCAGCAAGCAGAGCTGCAAGCAGAGGTGCCTGAAGAGGAACCAAAGCCGCAGTCAGAGCAGCAAGCAGAGCAGCATGCAGAGGAACCAAAGCAGCAAGCAGAGCTGCAAGCAGAGCTGCAAGCAGAGCTGCATGCTGAGGAGCCAGCAGAGCCGCAAGCTAAGCGCGCAAATCCGAGCGCCAAGTCGCCAGCAAAGCCTAAGGTAATTCGTCCGCAAAGACACCAACCGAATGTTCGCTACCATTACGGCAGCGGGGAGCCGAGCACCAATTGGCTCTGCAGCGATGATATTCCCATTGTGACACGCCGCGCACTGGAGGACAATGGCTCGGAGCAGCTAATGGCCCGCTATCAGATGGACGATGTGGGCTCCGAGTTCAGCCACACCGTCTGGAAGGTGGTGAAGCCGGGCCAGCGCCGCGACAAGAAGTACGACAAGAATGGTGTCAAAATTGGGTACATTCAAGAGCTGCCCTTGGAAAAAGGCGACGAAAAGGGAATGGGAAAAGGAATAGAAAAAGAAAAGGCAAACGGAAAAGAGAATGCGCCGCCAGCTGTGGGCAAGTCGTCGGAGCCGGCCGAGCTCGTGCTGCCGTTCGGCTGCCCCGAGCAGGAATGCAAAATGAAATTCGCCAATCGGTAAGTACACGAATCGTTTTTATGACTTTTATTTTTGTATTTTGTATTTTGTATTTTGTTTTGTTCTGCCCCGCCGCAGCGCCGAGCTGAGCGCCCATCAGCGCCTCAGCGGACACCACCACTGGCAGTATCAGTGCGAGAAGTGCAAGAAGTTCTTTCGCCAAATAAATTACTTGAACCGCCACAAGGTCGCCTGTCTCAAGGAGGGGAAAGACGAAGCTAAGCCCGAGTAATGCCTCTGGCAGCGAGAGAGAGAGAGAGAGAGAGAGAGAGAGAGAGGGACGCCCCACCTGAGCCACTGAGACGCTGTGATTTCTAGTGTCTTACACATACATTTTGGAACTTATTCAATTGCAAATTGAAACAAATCTTTACACGTAGCTAAACATAAAATAATAAATAATTAATTGGTGGCCCCTGATGCTGTTTGGTGTAATCTATTGACAAGGGAATGCCCGACTTTGCCGCGCCTTTGTTTGGCGAGGAAAACATTTATTTCAGCAGCAGGAGCTGCAGGAGCTGCAGGAGCGGGAACTGTTAACAGTTAGCAACAGGAAGTGCAAGAGGAGCAGTGGCTGCTCCTGGCTGCTGGCTGCTCGGATTCATCTTGGCACAGGGACCGGCACTTGCTGCACGTGCCGCTATTTACATTTGCACGTAATAAATTCACTGGGAGCAAGAGGACAAGGAGAACTGGCAACAGGAAATGTGCCCGGAAGTGCATATGCCGGCTGTCGTGCCCCATGCCCCATGCCCCAGCGAGGCAACGGTGCGGCGACCAACGTGTTGCATTCAAATGGGCAGCGCTCTGCCCTGCCCCACCGTGCCACTGTCACATATTTGCATTGACGAAATTTAATGAGCTCACAAAAGCAGTGGGCAAACATTTGCAAAGCTCCCTGGCTCCGGCTCCGGCTCTGGCTCTGGCTCGGATCGAAGCCAGGACATTAGTGGTGGAGGACAGTATGGGGTGGGACGTGTGCGAGGCGCTTTATTAGATACGTGTCCTATCTGTCGCCCAAGCCCATGGTGGCCTGCCCCATCCGGCCCACATCACAGGCAGCCTTTGTGGCAGCTTAAACACATTCACGCCGTGTCCTTTGTCCCTGGCAATCCTAGATCTAGACTAAGATCTGTCGAATGGCCCACAGACACACTGTTCTCACTTGGCACTGTGCGGAAAAGGCGTAGAACTCAGTGGAGAAATCTTTTCAAACTCTTTGGAGCCAGAGTGGCGCCACAGTGGGAAAGTCTCAGCCTCGTCCGCACCCCGTAAGTGGTTTAATTTCATTTTTGTTTGTTAAAAGGTGGAAGCCACATTCCCTGCCCTGGCATTTAATTGTTTTTCTGCATCTTCGTCTGTGTCTGCCATTTGCCACATTCCATTTGTTGGTCCGGGCAGCCTACCCCCCTAGCATTGCCATGGCAATCGTCAGTTGAGTCCGACTACGGCTTGGATTTGCTTTGTTTTTATTGTTTTTGTTTTTGTTTTTGTTTTTGTTTTCGTTTCTTCTCTTTTTCTGTGCTGTGTGAGGAAAGAAAACTTAAAGTAAATCAGTTTTGTTTGTGGCCAAAAGTGAAATGTCTGGACACACACACGCACACACGCACACACACATGCACACATATTTCTTTGTTGTGTGTGTGTGTGTGTGTTTATCGTTGCTGACATTTAAAATTACACTCTGGGGAATGCACAGACGAGGCGAAGAAGTAGAAGAACATTGGCTTCAAAGTAAGCAAAATAAAGCAAACAGACGCTGGGCAGGGGCAACGAATAGCCG